AACAAGTCCCATAACTAGGACCCACTAAACAATACTAACATTAAACAACAAGTCCCATAACTAGGACCGATTAAACAATACTAACATTAGACAACAAGTCCCATAACTAGGACCCACTAAACAATACTAACGTTAGATAACAAGTCCCATAACTAGGACCCACTAAACAATACTAACATTAAACAACAAGTCCCATAACTAGGACCGATTAAACAATACTAACATTAGACAACAAGTCCCATAACTAGGACAAATCACATAGTGAAGTTTAACCATGACTTCTAAAGCGCACCCTGGGCACCAAAAATAAACTCATGTGAAATCACATAGTGAAGTTTAACCATGACTTCTAAAGCGCCCCCTGGGCACCAAAGTGTGAAGTGTATTTTGATTTCGGACGGGACGCGAACAACAACGGATTCACAGTTCGGGCACACTAATCACAAGGACATGCCTAGTCCAAATTTCTGGAAAGTAATGAGAAGAGTGATTTAACTAGAGCTAAATATAGATCAGGAGAAAATAATGGAATATAATACTTGATTTGATATCTACATCCACGATACGGCATAATAATTATCCAATGTTTAGACAAAAATAAAATATTAAATGTAGGAAAACCCTTCTTTTGAAACAATTATTTCAATCTCTTTTTCATGGCACTTAAAGTCGTAGTAAACTGCATGGACTCGAAGAATACACTGCTGCCAATACTCAACGGCATTTCAAGTGGATTACGCGTTTATTTTTTTAATTTTTGAAGCCGGTACCAGATTGTTTTTTCATTCAATTTGAAAAATACTTAAAGGATTACCACTAACTTGTAGAAATCCTCATTCTGTAAGCCAGATTTATTTCTCGATAGAGCTAAATAATAAATTACCCCTTCTGTACTCGCCGCAGTGATCGAACCTTGAATTTTAGCATTAGAATCTTCCAAACTTACCGCTGAGCCACCAGGGTTTGGGCGGGGGGAACAGGTACAGGACTACCATTGGTGGATTCATTAGAGAGCCAGCAATCATACTAAAATTAAGTTCTGAACAAGTTTCAACTTTTGTGCAAAAGTCTCGCTGTTAATAACTCAAAATCATTCTTTAGAAAAGTATGAAAAATACCCAAGCGACTATAACAGACTGTTTACGGTCTGTTTAACAAATTATTAAGAAGGAAAAGTAGTCGAGGAAAACGTAGTCTTGAATAACTATTTGCTGTAATCTAGTATAATTTCTCCGAAAGGGGGCCAAAGGTCGCCTGGAGGAGGTCACCTGCTTTAACTACACACACCACTATACAATAGCGTTTTGTCTGTCAATCAGTCAGTAGACATTAAAATGGCGTCACATAAGGGACGCTTAACGTTACAATTTGTACTGTTGTGACGTTAGTAAAACGTGCGCATGCCATGAATCACGAGAATAATTATGCACTCTGTAGGCTACAGCACAACATGACATATGAACTTCAAAAGCAAGAAATAAAAACATTTGTTACTTTTAATTTTGGTTTTATCTACTCTTGACACAGAACATTTTCGAGAACCTTACGGTAGTACATCTAGTCTACTTTAGAGTTTCTGTAAAAAAATATCACATCATTGATTTGACTTTATTTTATATACATTTGTACAAGAACGTTTGGAGTATAGTGAACGTTTACAAACCTGCTCTTCTGTTTTGCCGATGTATAAAAAATCGTAATGAGGTTCGTAATGTCCTCCAACACCATAGTTCGTAGTCTAAAAAAATATGAAAATTAATAAGATATAAATATAATATACATTGCCATTTTCTTCTTTGGTTTAACATTTCGCTTGTAAAAAGCGTGAGAACACCAACTGAATACATATATTACTTTATTATGCATTACGAACGTAGGCTGACAAAGCTGAAAAACAAACAAACTAGTATTGTTTAGTCGGACATGAGTTTATTTAGAGTTGGTGGTAGGTGCGTTTGAATAGTTTCTATCCTCTAGTCTATCAGGTTCCAAATTAGAGACGGCTATGCGTAAATAGCACTTGTTTAACTTCGTAGAATAATTTTCAGAAAAAAAAGAAACGCAGTTGTTAGCAATGCTCCTGGGTCTGTCTAGCGGTAATGTTAGTTCGATTAGACCCGAGAATGGCCTAATGGTCAACCTATAGGACTGGGGATCCAGGGAACTCTAGTTAGAGATAACGTACTTCCAAACGCTTCGCATTTTCAGTTGTGGGTGGGTTATATGAGTGACAGTCAATACCATGGTTTATTAGCGTCAGGTACGCCCAGGATTTGAGAATATCCAGGGCACACTTCAAATATAGATGGAGACCCTTCTTCTCCGTATGTATATATATATTATACGGTCTTACTTATATTGTATAAAATTGTTTTGAAACTTAGTTAATAAATTAATGATGCTATCAAGTTATCATTTTTTAAACATAAAAACAAAGATAGGTTTATAGAATTCATATTCTTTGTATTTCATCGAAAACATTTTATGTTCTCTTGTTTGTGATGTCGTTCGGGTAAACAAACAAACAGGAGTGGAAGTCTATCTTTCTAAAGCTTTAAGTTATCAATTTTTATGCTGTTATTGTTTTTTTTAATAGATTTGCTTGTAGCCTAAAGCTAATGATCTAATTGCGCTCTCTCTACAAGGAGACTTCAGTCCCGGATTTTAGCGTTGTAAATCCGTAAACCTATTTTATAACAGAAAGTTATACTTTTAGAAATAATTGTAAATATCTCAACCGTTTTCATCTGATTTCAGTTTTTTAGAACTATAATTTTAGGACAAGGCAAACGTTTTAACGTATTAATAATAAATATTAGTAACACTTTGCCAGAAATATAGTCTCTAACCTGGCCGTTTAGCTTATTGTGCGCATAATCTGTTCAGTACGAAAATCTTGATGGAAAGTAGACCACCTCACTGGACACTAAAATGTCTATCCGATAAAAGACCAAAAGTACACTAACAAGCAGAGTACGAAAATACACGTTGATCATGATTCACGTTCCTAGGTTTCCACGAAAAGAAAACTCCTTGAAATTTTCAACATAGTGGCCCTTGGAAAACATGCAATGTACATATCTTCCCTTCATCTAGGAATAGTGATTAGAATAATGATAACACGCCAGCCAAAAAGGTTCACCTGGGTCTTATTGTGTGGCAGACTGCACTGAGAAGAAAATATGTGGAAATGTCGATCAAGTTTTGTAGACTGTTCATTTTGTTGGTTAACGTAAAGGATTTATGATTTTCCTTTTTTGGTTTTTAGAAAAAATATATACCACCAGTAGAGCTAGAAGTGGGAGACAGGACAGCGACTCTAATGTTCTATGTAAGTACCAAAGAACACGTGTTCGCTTATGATTTTAAATATTTACAAATATAATGAAAGAAAGAAATTTTTGTCACCTCATTAAACAAAGTTCTTTATATCTACTCAGGCCCGGCATAGCCAGGTGGTTAGGGTCGCGGGTTCGAATCCCCGTCACCCCAAACATTGTCACCTCACTAAACAAAGTTCTTTATATCTACTCAGGCCCGGCATAGCCAGGTGGTTAGGGTCGCGGGTTCGAATCCCCGTCACACCAAACATTGTCACCTCACTAAACAAAGTTCTTTATATCTACTCAGGCCCGGCATAGCCAGG